CAAGGCCAGGTAATAGAAGAATTTATAATGGAGCATAATCTTGGAGAAATATGCAAATGTTGCCAGCAAATATGAATGGGGAAAATATGAGCAAAGATGAGGAGGATAATATGGTCTTCAAGGAGCAACTTGAGGCTGCCCTTCTTATTCCAGGCAAATGCATTATTCAAATTTACTAAGTTAGTGACAAATGTCTTCCTTGAGTAATGATGCCTTCTATGCCTTTGTTCTCACCATGAGGAGGACAGTGACCACTGGTATAATTTGACAGTTTCAGGAGAGTTGTATGATTTTCAGGGAATTCTGATAAAGATATTGCATAATTGTATTCAACAAAAGCAAAGTACTCTACAATTTTTTTTGAGACCCTGATGGACACCACAAGGACAAGTTTCTCTTTCCCTCCTCAACATTAATACAAAAACATTCTACTCAAGTGCAAACCTTACAAATGAAGCCCCCCCCCAGAAAAAAAAGAAATCAATATATAGGGCATCTTTACAAATACACTAGATTATTTAATGTTTGTAATTTTATTTTGTAGGGGAAACATGGAGGAATATGACAAGGAGCTGTTTTTCAATTCACTCACTGCTGAATGAACTTAAGTATGATTGCTCTGGGGATGATGTGATGGTACCCTAGACAAGGAGTGAACTTGGCCATTTGCCTGGGATCTACATTACAGGGGCACTTTCTTTCAAAGGCAATACTAGTAGTAATTTAGAGGAGACTTATTTTTTGAGCATTTACTTTGCGAAGAGGTTAATTTACATTATTTCATTATATTCTGACAACTACCCATTTACTGATGATGAACTGTCTAGAAAGATTAAGTAGGTTATCAGGGAATGCACAGCTTGCAATCCAGTAGGTGTTTCACCAACTTTGATCATAGTCTGGTCTAATTCGTAATTATATACTTTAATTTCAAGTAATTTTTAATCTTGATAATAATACAAGTTGTTACTAGAATACATGAAATATGTGTAAACTGAAGAAATGTTATGCTCTAGCAGCAGACTTTTTTTTTTTTTTTTTTTTGGGAGATTTTATAAATGTCTCTAGACCAAGCCCCAGAGGATCTCAACAAAGGAAATCCCCTATGAACTGCCCAGAGGATCCATGGTGCTTGTGAGGTGGGCAGGCCATTCATGCTTCCTGCGCTCAAGGCTTTGTCTATCTTTCTGAGAGGAGGGCTGGTATCCAGGCAACTCCGTGGTCAGTCTATTTTCATACTGTAGCAGTGACAAGCATTTTTTTTTTTTTTTAAGTAAGACATATGGCACTGATAGTGTGATGAGATGGTTACTGAAGTCTGATTGTTCTGCCTTATAGTAATTCCATGGTTACTGCCAGTGGGGACAAAGGAATTCCTAATAAGAGACTCCAATAATGAATGAATAGGGCTCCCCCCATGGCCATTAAAGCCCGAGACTCAGAATGCCAGCATTGTGCTTTATTAGGTTAATGGTCTTTTTACAAGTGTGGTCTTAGAAAATGGGAAAAAAAAACCACAGGCCTAAATTACTGCTAAAAAGACATATGTAATATAAAGTATAGACTGGTACTGGAGTCTGATCTTGGTAAACAAAATGTCACCAGCTTATATCTGTGTTCAATAATTTACAGTCCCTGGGATCTACATCACATGATTCAACACATTTTTAGACCTTAATTTTATCTACATGTTGTAGAACATCATGTACTTTTAGAGTCAGGAACCCCAAAATTGTATACTTAAATCCCAATTTTAGTGTACTTTGATGAAGTCAAAATCACGCTTGCTTGCTTCAAAATAGAATCCTTTATACATGTTCTACATGCTGCCCTCTTCCCATGTTTTAAAAGCTCCGTATCCAAAAACAAGTTATTGCTCTGAAGCAGCTCAGTTCATTTTCACTGCTTAATGCTATAAACAATAAATAACATGCATTTTTATTTTCATCAGACGCAATATTTTCTGTAAAAATACTGACAGGGACACATTCCTCTGAGATTGGATTTTTTTGAACATTGTGGTGTTTGAAGATGACTGATATATCTAAGAGGCTTAACTGAAATTTCATGTGACCCAGGAATATTCTTCAGAATCAAAGTGTTGTAAATGGAGGAGGAAAGACTGCCTCACCCAGGAACCATTGCTAATTCTAGACTGTGTGCAGGGTGTAGGATCTGAATCATGAAAATGTTCAGTTACCCTAACCATATTTATCTTAAAGGATAAAACTGGATGCAATTGATTTAGTGTTGGGAAACTGAAGAGATTGTGCTTTCCTTGGGGGCAACCATACCTACAGGGCCATTCCACACACACTGTAGCTCTTCTATACCAAGTAGGCTAGAGTGAGCTGGGGGAGGCAGACTCCAGAAGAGCATGGAAATGCATTACCCCTTAGAGAGATTGCACTTATTTTTGCCTTCCCTTTGGGAACCCAAGGCATTGGTATCTGTCCTCAGAAGGCTACTCACCCACAGTTCATTTCTCTCAGCACATTCTTTGTTTCCTATGAAAACAGGAACCCTGTAGCTAGCAATCTTCTGGCCTCTGATTGTTTGTTTGCTTCCACAGAATCTGTACCAGAACAGGTTTTTAGGCCTGGCTGCCATGGCATCTCCATCTAGAAACTCTCAGAACCGACGGCGATGCAAGGAGCCCCTGCGCCACAGCTATAACCCCAGCCAGTTTCACAGCATGGCCATCAGGACTGGCCCCCACGGCACTGTCACCATCCCTCGCTCCACCAGCGACACTGATCTGGTCACCTCAGACAGCCGCTCCACTCTCATGGTCAGCAGCTCCTACTATTCTATAGGGCACTCACAGGATCTGGTGATCCATTGGGATATAAAGGAGGAAGTAGACGCTGGAGATTGGATTGGCATGTATCTCATTGGTGAGTTGAACAGCACTTAACCAAGCTGGCTAACAATGTGCTGCACAACTATGTTTCTTAGCTATGTTTCTTAACATCTTTATGTTGAAATATTTAGTGTTGAAATATTTAATATTTTAATAATCCTATAATTTTGTTAAAGTAGACAATCTGCAATCAAATGTGTTACACACCAAATCAAACACACCGAAGACCACACTAAAGCTTCTCTAATCAATGGGAAAAAAATCATGAGATAGCAGTGCCAGGTATGGTTGAACACAAACATCACTACTATTTGCAACTACAGTTAATATCACTCATGAGTTAATATCAAATGCCGTTTTTAAATCCATGCATTTATTAAACCAAAGCAATGCCATCTATCTAACCAACACACATGTGCAACAATATGCAATATACATTATGCAACAATAATACATGTGGAAGTATTTTAAATTTTGTTTCCAACATAATCTTTGGCTCTTTCACCTGCTCTTTCAAAATTCTTACTGCTTTGTATTAAAAAGACTTAATGGCATTACATAGAGTGGGAGTGAGCACTCTGTGATGGGTAAAAGGAAAATGACAACATAAATCCAAGGTACAAGAGCAAATAAATCTCACGAACTTGAAATCAGAAAAATAAAATTGCATGAAAAATGTATTTCATTTATTTAACCTGATAGAATCAGATGTGGTGGATTTACCCATGTAAATCCATCAGTGAAATGGTAAATCTTCCAGTGAAATGAACTGTTTACAGTCAGACACACAATGCAAGGGTTTTCATCATCAAATACCCATAATAAATTGTTATGAATATATTACAACCTTCACCCTGTTTTTGGTAAAATAAAGGAGATTTTACTAATAAGTTGTCAGCATAATATTTTTAGTTCTTCTGAAGGTTTTACAATCAACTTGTTCAGTGGATTTATAATACACAAACTATTTTAAAGATGGAGGAGCACAGTTTTATGCAAATTATTTGCATAATTATGCAAATTATGCAGGGGTGAGAGATGCGGGGGTTGAGAGGACTCACCAGAGACAGAGTGGGGAACAGAACAGGCAGACTTACTGAAATACACTGCTGAGGGGAGCAGCGGGTGAGTCAGTAGAGGTCTGCGTCACCATGTGGGTTGCTCCCTGGCTGGCCTGGGATCAAACTTATGCTGCAGAGGCTGTGGGATTGCTTCATAGTGCCACCAGGGAGGCCCCAAATGGGTAAAATTTAATTTGCTAAAAATATAGCTCTGGAATCAAAGTATTTGGGTATCACTGCTTTAAAACAGAGTTTGCAAAGTAACAGCCTACCAAGCATATTTTGTTTTAATTCCTATTGTTTTATTTTATTTTAAGATTTATTTATTTATACAAGAACTGGGGTATAATCAGAGAAGCAGGAGGGTGAGAGAATTCACCATAGACAGAGCAGGGAGCAGAACAGGCAGACAGACCGAAGACACTGCTGAGGGGAGCAGCAGGCGAGACAGGAGAGGTCTGCTGGGCCATGTGGGTTTCTCCCTGGCCGCCTGGGAATTGAACCCATGCTGCAGAGGCTGCAGACAGCTTCGCAGCATAGTGCTCAACCTGCTGTGCTACCAGGGAGGCCCTAGTTCTATTGTTTTAAATTTGATTAGTTATCAAGATTTTTAAAAAATAATAATCTCACATCGAACTCAAATTTCTAGTTTCTTTCACAGAAGCCTTCATATTGACAGAATGAACTTGTTAATTCTATTTGGCCCTAATCAGTTAGAGTCCAGACGGAGCTGCATCCGTCCGTTCCAACAGAGCCCCTCTCCCACCCATCCCTGTCTTGATTGTGAATGTTACTTGCTTAGTATCTTAAACAATTAGCTCGTTGGACCCAGGTGTAAGTTTGAAACAACTCTTTGCAGCTATATCTTTATGCACTGATGAGTGATGATGTCATTCATTCCCCAAATTAAAGAACAGTTCAAAGAGGAGCACTGGTGAGGGGAAACTGGGACGCCTGAGACAGTTGTCCTTGGTAAAGGAACAGATGGGTCTGGAACTCTGCCCTGGAACAAGACTGGGGGTGTAGATTTGGGTCATTGATTCTGTGGGATTGGATAAAGTTTCTCATGGATTGTGTGTAGAAAGCACCAGAAGCCTGTAGCAAAGATGCATAGTAGGAGCTTAAAAAGGAGATGGGGAAGTGATGGAGAAGTAGGACAAAAACTAGGATACTGCACTGAAGACAAGAGAGGAAATCAGAGGAAGGAAGGGGTGGTCAGCATTATCAAGTGTCATGAAACTACATTATTAAATAAGCTTTGGTGTTGGGCCTCCCCTGGTGGCGCAGAGGTTGAGCGCTGGGCTGCGAAGCTGCCTGCAGCCTCTGCAGCGCCGGTTCCATCCCCGGCTACTGGCGAGGGTCCCACATGGCACGCAGACCTCTCCTGCTGTGCCTGTCGGCCTGTTCTGTTCCCCGCTCTGGCTCTTCTGACTGTACCCAGTGCTTGTACAAATAAATAAATAAATCTATAAAAATAAATAAATAAATAAGCTCTGGTGTTAAGAAGATATTTTGACAGAAACAAATGTAACCATCTTAGAATCTTTTTTTTTTTTTTAAAGATTTATTTATTTATACAAGACTGGGGTACAGGCCAGAGGCACGGGAGGGTGAGAGAATTCACCAGAAACAGAGCGGGGAGCAGAACAGGCAGACGGACCGAAGACACTGCTGAGGGGAGCAGCAGGCAAGGCAGGAGAGGTCTGCTGAGCCATGTGGGTATCTTCCTGGCCAGCTGGGAATTGTCCGCTGCAGAGGCTGCGGACAGCTTCACAGCACAGCGCTCAACCCGCTGCACCACTAGGGAGGCCGTACATCTTAGAATCTTAATTTGAAAGTTGGCTGTTCTTTTACTAAGTACGCATATATAATTGTGAGGTTATCTAATGCAAAGTACCAACACTTTTAGTGGTATAACATTTCAAAAATAATTTTAAAATCCAAAATAATTTGTGAATCTTAAAAATCTATCATTTGTAGGTCCTTAGTATCTATGAGTTTTGCAGTGCCTTGTTGGAGATAAAATCATAGATCTAAGGGGCCTCCCCTGTGGCGCAGCGGTTGAGCGCTGGGCTGCGAAGCTGCTCACAGCCTCTGCAGTGCCGGTTCAATTCTCGACCACCAGCGAGGGTCCCACCTGGCGCGCAGACCTCTCCTGCTATGCCCGCTGCTCCCCTCAGCAGTGTACTTCGTCAGTCTGCCTGTTCTGCTCCCCACTCTGTCTCTGGTGAATTCTCTCACCCTCCCATGCTTCTGACTGTACCCAGTGCTTGTATAAATAATTAAATAAACCTTTAAAAAAAATCATAGATCTAAGGCCTAAAATTTTAGGTGATTTCATTGAATCTGTCATTTCACAGATGAGGAAATGGCAATTCAGTGACTCCCAAGGCCGCACAGTTGCCTTCCCTTATGGTAGACCCCATGTTGGCCCTGAGAACATTTCAGCACATTCTGGTAGAACATCACATATGGGTCATTCCACATCTATGGACAATCTAAATGTCTAAGAGAGACTTGGTTTGTAATGCTGTCAGTATCATCTGATCTCTTGAGTTCTCCAGGCAAACATTACCTTTCTTCTGCCATATGACAATGAACTATCTTAATGTGGAGAGAGATGTGTGGCCCTGCTCGCTGACAGTGTCACCAAGTCACTAATGGCATTCTTTGTCAGCACCATAGGAACCTGGTGATAAGGCAATATTAGCATTACCATTATTACAACCATGAAATCATGTTTGGCTGCCCTCGTTTATGGAGTGGCTTGTGAATTAGATAAGAATGACAAATGGTTCCCTCCTTGTGGCATAGAATGGGGAGAGATCATGGAGTTTCAGTGACATTTTGACCTGGTTTGGGATCATACTCTATCGCTGGCTAGATATATGGCCCCAGCCAGCTATTGTCGTTAGAGCTTTAGGGTCATTAACTTCAAAATGAAGGGAAAAAAGGATCCTCTACAGACTCATTGAGAGGAATTAATAAGATTCAGTGATTTTACTGCCTGTTGATCAATATATTGTATCCTGATTTCACCTGTCAGGTAGCTTTGTTCTCTGAGCACATCATGAAAAATTAACCCACTTCTCAGTCTTTAGTCATCCCAGCCATGACTCTTAGACATGTACTCAATTGTTTTAGTTGTGTATGATAGGCAAGAGCTTTTTACCAAACCATAGAGGCCTGGAAAGATATTCTCAAATCAGTAAAGGGGCAGAATTTTATTATTTGACCAGCATCAGGTACATAGAGACAGTTTTGCTAGATATCAGTATTTTCAAGAAACAGTTTTTCGATATTCACTCACTAAAAGCTACTTGATTTTGGCAAGTAATATTTAATTGTTTGCATGTCCTATTCTTAAGATAAAAATATGAAAGTGTCCATAACTTACTTATACCAAGGGAACACTATCATGTGATTGCATTAGTATAAATAAATTGAAGGATACAATTAATATGTTTAGCCATTAGGATGCTAAATTTCATATTCCAATATGAAAATATTATTTAATATCTCAATATACTCTTTAGTATTATCAAAATTTTAAACTATCCATTCTTTTGTCTCTTTTGAAAGAAGCTCATTGAAAACTGCTTAAATATAATAGAATTTCTTTTTTTTTATTAAATAATAAATTTTATTTTTATATTCCCCCATACAACTGCACATGCCCCATTCTGACCCAATCTCTCCCCTCCCGGCCCCCACCCCCAAAAAGTGTCTCTGGTTCATAGTTTTTTGTTGATTTTGATTTTCACTTTCTTATAGTTATTCATTTTCCTGATCCCTTATTTAGTTTTCTAGATTCCTGCTATGAGTGAGACCATCCGGTATTTTTCTTTTTCTTTTTGGCTTATTTCGCTGAGCATGATCCCTTCCAGCGTCATCCATGTTGCTGCAAATTGCATGTGTTTATCTTTTTTGAATGCTGAGTAATATTCCATGGTATATATGTACCACATCTTCT